TGGGTTAATTAAACATGAAGGTGCTGTTTTGTAGAATGTCTTAAGAAACAGTGTTTTTTTTTAGGAATTCAAGAAGTATTACAAAGATGACGGCCGCCTTCCTTATTTCGAGAAAGGCGGACAATCACCATATTCCAGTAAAGAGGGTGTAGACATTCTGCTGAGAGTGAAAGAACCATGTTGCACTGAAGTCCCCCTTCAGGTGATGGAGAATGCTTCGTTTGTAATAGATTTAGATGCTCTCCCCCACCCCGAAGGGGCGAATGATCTTGGCAAGTGGATTCATATTGGCTCCCCGAAAAGCTATATTGCTGTTGAGAGAAACAAAAGTGGCCATATCCTGGATGTTTAAGGAACAAGGCAGAAAAGAACGGATCTTCAAGACAAGGAGGCACATATCGGAAGCGGATATCTTTCGTGTACGATAGCAAGTCAAGAAGGCACCTACTGGCATTGCATCAGTATTACTTTGAAGGTGAAGAAACCCTTTTGAACCTTAATGAGCATGGAAATGAAAAAAACAACACAGAGCCTTATGTTTCAACGAAACCAAGCACATTCGAACAGCTGACAGAAATATCCAGAAGCTGCCAACCCCAAGGGGTCTTTTTCGAAGCTGTACGTCAGAAGGGGGGATTGGACTTTTGCCGCTCTAAGAGTGATTTGTCGCGGAATTCCAGGTAGGTGCAGAACGTATTATCGTCTACTTCGGCATCCTTTATGCTGTCAGCCAGTTCCAGTAGAGATATCTTGCTTGAAGCTATGGAAAAGTGCAAAACTAAAGACGGTTATGTCAGAGAGGTAGTTGGTGCACCGGAGCCTATGGCCTTTCTTGCCGCTGAAAGGCAGCTAAAAGATATCGAGCTGTACTGTTGTCAGGAAGACGCTTTTTCAGTTCTTGGTATTGATCCGACATTCAATCTTGGCAATTTTAGCGTGACTCCAACGACCTACAGGTGCCACAAAATTGTTAACGTATCAACAGGTAAATCACCTGTTTTCCTTAGTCCCATGCTTGTTCATCAGAGCAAAACGGAACAAACTTACCAATATTTAGCCTCATCAGTCAAGCAATTCAATCCAAACACCGTGTCGCTTCAAGCCTTCGGCACTGATGACGAACGTGCTTTGTCAAATGCATTCAATGAAGAGTTCCCTGTGGTTGACCATCATCGTTGTTTTATCCACCTGCATAACAACATTGAAATGAAACTCTCCAGTATAGGCATAAATGGGCGTTTCCAAAATGAACTTCTTGACGACATTTGGTCATGATGCAGCAGCCATCTCGTATCACGGAATTGTGGATTCCGATGATTCGGATGACTTTTATGCAAAACTGTGCTCGCTAGAAGATGTTTGGAATGCTCGAGAATGGGAAACTCCACATTCTGCGACTGGTTTGTCAAAAATGTTGCTGACACAATCAACGCATGGATGCTGAAACCCATGCGACAAAAGGGAGGACTTGGGGATTCCCTAAACACAATAAACGACAATGAAGAAGAAAACCACCTGTTAAAGCTGAAGACAGACCACAAACGTGTGAACCTCGAAACGCTTATTGAAAAGAGCCATGAACTTGTGAAGGAACAAGATTCGTTGCTAAAAGGAGCAATCATTGACCAGGGGAAATGCAGATTGTCAGATGAATGTAAGCACCTGAAGATATCCCCAGAAAAGGGGAGAAAGATGAATCGTACGGAGAGAAGAGCGTACACCAAAAAAGCCAAAGAAAGTGGTCCCATGTCACAAACGTTTTCCACACTCTCCATATCACATACACAGTCTGGCATCTCTGGTATCCCAGAAATCATTTTATCCCATCAATTCCCTGAGGCCCAGAGGCTCTTGCGAATGAACAAAGTTAGACATGGCTTTGGGGAAACGATACTTTATTGGTAACATCTGATACATCAGCGAAACCACATGTCATAAGGCAATGCAAAAATGGTAAATTCTGTTACGATGATGACTGTCCTGCATACAACCATTCCAGTCTTATGTGCTCACACACTGGCGGGAGCAGAATTCAAGGGTAAACTCGTAGATTTTGAAACATGGCACAAGAAAACTGGTGTACAGACAAGTGTGACAAAAATGTGTACTTATGGGCTGGATGTTGGCAGTGCTGGTAAAAAGCCACATCAACGAAAAAGAGCGAAGAAGACCAAGGGGACAGAGAACTTCATTGTTGAACATGTAGACAGACTGCGAACTCCATCCCAGAATCGCCAGCCCGTGAAAATGAAGATTGTTCGAAGAAATGGAGATTACGAAGTCTTGCAAGAAAGTCTAGCACAGACAGACAAAGGGCCTCGTGAGGACATCAATTCGTATTCTCTTGTGTTCCTGTCTGATCATCCCCGAGTGACAACTTGTACAGGATGTGGAATCAAATTTGCTCGAAAGGCCGATGGTGGACTCTTTCCTCCTGCATGACGTCGCCATTACACACAAAGAGCACCGTCCCTGGAAAGATAGAAATACCGGGATCTTAAGAATTGGAAAGGAACAGGCTGTCTATTTTCATTTAAATATCTCTTGCGTTCAGAAAGGAAACAGTATCAGTAGAGCTACCTTTGATGGAGCACAATTAGACGATCATCCCATTGTCAAGCAACGTCTGAACAAGGAGCACAAATATTTCCTCTTCCAGCAGTTGAACATTTCACTATAAATGAACAACACTGTAAAACGTTCCATGTCGGAAACACTACTTACGAGTAAAAAAGTTGAAACTCAGCAAGCAGAGCATGTAGTTAAAATTTAAAACTATTATTACTAAGTAGCAATAACAAGCCATAAGAAGTATCCACCAACTAGTTTTGAATGAGTGCAACCATTGTCCTAGAAATGTAGAGAGAATATGAACGACGTTACAACGCTAGTGCTCATTGCATAGTCAACTAAATTTCACTTTATAACTTGCAGTTGCTGGATGCCAAAAAGCCCCTATTGATTGAGAAGCGACCGCATGGTATGCACCACACCTAATGTTCACGTTCATGTTACGGTATTTGACTGAACTGTCTCGTTGCAAAGTGACTTAGCTAACCAGAAAAACAGTTTTGCAATTTGTTATTTTGATTTCCTCTGGGTGTAGACATTTCTGTTAATATTTAAGCATTCTTTATTATATAAATGAAGTTTCCATAAATTAAAATAATGAGTTTATTTTGCCTTCCGTTCACAACATGGTACTCGGTGACTCTTTTTTTTATTTTGGCCTCCTCAAACAAAGCTTGAAGGCTTTTAAAGAAAACCTGCTTTGATTAATAGTGACATGAAAATAGTTTTTTCCATGGCTTATCGGATGTTCTGAATGACTGACACGGCGTCCATGATCTGCTACAGGTCATCTACCCTTTGTTACACACTTTGATTCACCTAAGGACAAGTCGGTTATGTACGAATCTCGTATAAATGCTTTATTTGCGGCCCTTAAAATAAGAAGTGGCAGTGAGTTGTAAAGCGAGAAGTGATCATGCTCGCC